TGTCTACAAATGCCCCCTTGAGACTTGTTCACGGACAAAATGTCTTGGTAGTGAATGAGTCTCAAAATTTTAGATTTAGTTTGAACATGGAGATAGTTTAAACTCTTATCTAGGAGTTTTCGACTTGAATTTGTAGATAGTTTAAACTCGTATCAAGGTATTCTTCATTTGACTTGATTTGTAGATAGTTTATACTCGTGTCAAGGAGTTCTTGATATGTAGACCTTTTATTCTCGTGTCAATGAGATCTTGATGACATTTTATGCTCGTGTCAATGAGCCTTCAAGATTGATATGTAGACCTTTTATTCTCGTGTCAAGGAGATCTTGATATGAAGACACTTTATGCTCGTGTCAAGGAGCCATATAGATAGTTTAGGCTCATATCAAGGAGCATATGTAGATAGTTTAAGCTCATATTAAGGAGCATTATATATGTAGATATTTTAGACTCATATCAAGGAGCATTTGAATATTTGATGGAGCTCTTTATGTGGATTGTCCCCATGCTTCATGGCTTCGGAAGACATCATTCTTCATTGCCCCCATGTATATTTTCTTCAAAGAGGTCTTCAAGCAACTTCAAAGATCTTCGAACTTAATTTGGAGAGAAGAGATGGGAGGTAGAGAAGGTCCCACTGGACGTGCCAAATTTGTAACAACAAATTTTATGAAAAACATAAAACTTTTTGTACAACTTGATTGTATTTTGATCAAACGATTTGCAGGTACAATCTCTATTTATCTCCTCTGATTCTTCTCTTCATGAATTTGAGTTTGAGATCTTGAAAGATGGATTTGACGGTTGAATCTCCTTCGGGCTGGTCTTGAATTTCTCTAACATTAATTTGGGGGTCGAATGACTTATTCCCGTATTAAATGTTAGGCTTTGACTTGATTGAAGAAGCCTTCTTGGAGGACTTGATTCTTTGATCTTCTTGAAAGATGGACTTTGACTTGAATAACGTTGACTCGAGGGCTTGATAGCTTTTTCTCGGATCCAACACTATGTTGGTTGAACTTCTCAACGAACGCGGCTTGAATATCGCTTGAACGTCGTTGATATTCTTGAATGATTTGAGAGGAATGGATGTCGCCTCTTTGTTTATTGGAGGACTGCCATCTCTTTTTCTTCTTCTTGGCCTTCTTCTTCATTGAACGGACCTCGGGCGATTCTTCAAGAACTTCTTCAAATCTTCAAGAGGATTCTTGAAAATGCTTGAATTTGAGACTTTGATTTTTGAGACTTTGATTCAAGAGGTGTTGATTTATGAGGTGTTTGAGGTGTTTGAGATGTGTGAGGTGTGATTTGTAGGATTGAGGAGAGCCCTATTTATAGGTGTAGGAGAGAGAGTCTTGGAAAAGAAGACATCAATTTGATTGGTCCTTCTTGATCTGATATAATCTCTTTCCTTATCCTAAGATTTGATATAATCTCTTTCCTTATCCTAAGATTTGACTTGGTGGGCAAGAAACAATTACTTTATTAATTAAATATCTTATTTATCTTGGATTTATGTCCCAAAAATAAATAATGACATTAATTAATAAAATATTAAAATTTTGATGTCTACAAATGCCCCCTTGAGACTTGTTCACGGACAAAATGTCTTGGTAGTGAATGAGTCTCAAAATTTTGAATTTGGTTTGGACATGCAGATAGTTTAAACTCTTATCAAGGAGTTCTTCATTTGACTTGATAGATAGTTTATACTCGTATCAAGGAGTTCTTAATTTGATTTGATTTGTAGATAGTTTAAACTCGTATCAAGGAGTCTTGATTTGATTGACAGATAGTTTATACTCGTATCAAGGAGTTTCCAAATTTATAGACATTTTATGCTCGTATCAAGGAGATCTTGATATGTAGACATTTTATTCTCGTGTCAATGAGATTTTGATATGAAGACATTTTATGCTCGTGTCAATGAGCCATATAGATAGTTTAGGCTTATATCAAGGAGCATATGTAGATAGTTTAAGCTCATATCAAGGAGCATTATATATGTAGATAGTTTAGGCTCGTATCAAGGAGCATTTGAATGTGTAGATTTGATGGAGCTTTCCATGTAAATTGCCCCCATGGGATTTGAAGAAAAATATGGTAGACCACTTTTTGTTTCCTCCATTTAGATATTTGATGAACACGGCGATTTTCGACGGACATGGGCTTGGGAAGACATCAACCTTCATTGCCCCCATGTACATTTTCTTCACAGAGGTCTTCATGCATCTCCAAAGAACTTCAAACTTGATATGGAGAGAAGAGATGAGAGGTAGATAACGTCCCACTGGGCGTGCCAAATTTGTAACAACAAATTTTATTTTGAGTCCCACTGGGCGTGCCAAATTTGTAACAACAAATTTTATGAAAAAACATAAAACTTTTTGTACAACTTGATTGTATTTTGATCAAACGATTTGCAGGTACAATCTCTATTTATCTCCTCTAATCCTTCTCTTCATGAATTTGAGTTTGAGATCTTGAAAGATGGATTTGACGGTTGAATCTCCTTCGGGCTGGTCTTGAATTTCTCTAACATTAATTTGGGGGTCGAATGACTTATTCCCGTATTAAATGTTAAACTTTGACTTGATTGAAGAAGTCTTATATTAATAAATAAAATATTAAAATTTCGATGTCTACACAATGATATCTTGGTTGTGAGCATCGTTTGTCGATAATTATAGGGAAACATATATATATGTATATTTTATCAAATATAATATTTCATTGATTACAAGCGCAATATTTTATCAAGCGTAATAATTTATTTGAGTGGCCAACAAAATCTTTGCTAATAGAGATAAGGATATTGGTGACAATATTTCAATAAAATCTTCTTGCTGGCGGATT